ACAATAGAAAAAGTACTATAATCTATTCTAAATATTTGAGATTTCCCATGTACATTTCTTGGGAGCGAATGGTCTGCCTTTGAAATCTACTCTTAGGTGTGATGTACATACATCAGAAATGAACTTGTAAGGACTAGCATTTATGACTAAGCCCTGATTACCTATGTGCCTAAAATCAGAAATACTTTTTCATCCCCATACAAGCAGCACCACAAAGAGTTTGAAACTTTGGAAACATATTGTGACTGGCTCTATTAGGGTAAGAGGCATATTTCATTTTTGCAAGCTTCACACAGAAGTTTCATATGGGGCATACATTAAATGAAAAATATCAAAATTAAGGGATGACAGCAAAGGAACGCATATGGTTCAATCTGCCTGTAAAAGAATCAAGGTTAGTGAGAAAATGTGAATCAAAATAAGATTCTCAAGAGGGTATTTGATAAAAGATGTGATAGTCTTCAAAAAGACAAATACAAGCTCTGAACAGATAAAAAGCTACTTAGTATAATCACTGTTAAAACAGATAAAATGGGGCTCTATATTCAAATCTAATGAAGAATGAGGCTATATTCTTCATAGTGATAGGCAGGTTCCCAAGCATTTATGCAATCAGTTGAATGCCCAAAAGGTCTCTGGACTTGATTTCCCCCTCCTTGTATCAAAAACCAGTCTACTGTGCCACATGGCAAGAGTTATTTTATAAAGAATGTTTCAAAAGCCACCAGTGATAATAGCATATAGAGAAGGCTTCACTATTTAAGCAAGCAACCCCCAACCTCTCTCGTAATGTAAAAGCCATTAGGATTACAGCTAAATGGCCTTCTAGATCCCAGCTATGATGTTCATTTTAAGATTGCACAAAAATAGGAAAGGCACCTGTATTTCAGAAGCTTGTAGTTTATGGAAGACTTTAAAAAAGGCTTATAGTACAAATTGAGCAGTGTATCTGTTAAAGAGCATGGGCGGTATAGTGATTTGAGCACTGGTTTATGATTGGAGGCCAGTGTTCAAAACCATGGGAATCCTGGGCAACCCACTCTCTCTCAACTTCAGAGTAAGGCAAAGGTAAACTCTTTCTGAACAAATCCTGCCACCCAAAAACCATAAGGCTTGCCTTAGGGTCACTGTAAGTCAGAAACAACTTGAAGGAATACAACACCAGGCTTCAAATAAACCCTCTCAACCCTAAGTATGGCACCAGAGCAAGCTAGGAGGAAATCAGAAATGCACACTATGGTAAAACAACAGCTCCTTCTTCAATTGTCAAATGCATATTCATTACATTTTAGCTAGTATAAAGAAAATGTTTCAGAGGCCACACTGGTTCCTGTGGCAAGTACCAAAAGATCACACACACAGTCTAGACCAGGGGTAGGCAACCTTTCCCCTTTAAGGGCCGAGGGACTTCAGCTCCCAGAAGCCTCAGCCATATTGGCCAATAGTCCCATGTTGGCCAATAGCTCCTGGGATTCTGGGAGTTGAATTCCCTCAGCCCTTAAAGGGGAAAGGTTGCCTACCCCTGGTCTAGACCAGTGATTCTCAAAGAGGTGGTGGAAAGATCCAGGGGAGCACAAGTACAGTCAGCCCTTAGTATTTGTAGGCTTCCATTCCAGACCCCCCCACCCCCAATGCAAAAAACAGCAGGACCTCAAGTCTTGCGGTCCTCAATGGCCACAAGTGCAGTCACTAGGGGTAATGGGGCTTGCAGTCTGCAAATGCGTGAAAGGCAGGATAATAAATAAATTTCTATACTCAAAATCTGTTCTAAGCAAAATCTTGTCTTTAAAAGCATATCATTCATTCCAGAAGAGAAATAAATAGGCCATGTAGGTTTCTACCAGTACCATAAAAGGACATTGGGGAGGAAAAACATCCCCCCCCATGCATTTATGTCTGTTCCTATGCCACCTGGGTACTAACAAATGTATAAGAATGTTATAAACCTGGGCGTGGCGACAGCCATCCTGATGAGATATAGAAAAAAGTAATTGAAGAAAATTGCCCTGAGATTAGGTGCAAGCCACCTCTATAAGCCAATCCTGATCCTGAAAAAGACTTCTGTTTTGAAATTGAATGCAAGTGTTGAGAGAATCTGAGCTGGGAGTTACAAGTTGACAGCATCTTGAAGTGTACAGATGCTTCTGTTGTCTGTCTTCATCAATGCTCTACTTAATTGTAAATAAATCAAATATTACAGGGACATTCTAAGTCCCGAGGAAGCTTACATGGCAGTTCTTGTAATATTACAAGACTCTGCATTTGTGCAAAGGCTGATTGTTACTTTTATCTGTTAAAGACAGTTCTAACATAGAACAACTAGTTCTATGATTAAGTCAATGGTAAAAACAAGTTTTTGGGGATGTACTATTATAAGTACTTTTCAGTGGGTTAATTTACACCTTATTAGTGCAAAACAACTAATTTAGAGGCTCACAATATTCAGCTTCCCTGCAATTTTAAGCGTCAGAAAAATACATGGCTAACCAGAAGCAATTTCAGTGGTATTTACCTCCTGGTAAGTGTAAAATTCATGGGGTACCATAAGTTGACAGGTGATTTGAAGGCACACACACACACACACACACACACGCACACACACACGTATAAGATTAAAACCTTAAATATATAAAAGTAAATATTACAGTAATGCCACAAGTAACTATTTCAGGTAGTAAGGCTTTTATTGTTGGCAATTTGACAAGTACTTTTAATTCCACCTCTCCCCCCGCCTCATTTATTAATTCATTTTTATATAACAGTAAAACCAGCATAGTTGAGGCAAAATTAGTAACCATTTTCTAAACTTTGTACAATTAAGTTTTACAAAACTATGAAATGGGAGTTATTCCTATCAATTTCCTAACCATTAAAGACATCACGCCAACTATTTGAAGTGAGTCTTGTGACACATTTAGACCTCAGAAATTTATTATGACATAGTTACATATTGCATCTAACGAGTTAAGACACTAGGACACTAGGACACAAAGGTTTATATTATAATAAATTTGTTTTAAAGGTTTATATTATAATAAATTTGTTAGCATTCAAGGTGTCATAGGATGCCTTGTTTGCGACAAACACTTCCCTACATAATGAACTTTTCCCCAGAGAAAAGATCAATGTGTCAAATAGTCTTCTGCAAACTCAATCAAAACGTACAAAAATGTGAATACAGAGAAGGAAGTCCTTTAAATGTTTTGATACATATATACATAAACACTCTTCTTACTAGCTTGCTCATCACCTGCATACTTTTTTCCATTCCACAGATAGCACCCCACATAGCCTTTTAGTACCTCTTTCATTAACATCTTCATAAATCCAAGTCATAGCTACACCGAACTAGCATGGTATGAGATACTCAAGAGTACAGGTATACCTCCCTTAATGAAGTAAATTTGTTCCTGGGTATTACCTCTTTAGCAAACAATTTGTTAACAGAAGCACAAATAACATGGAAATAATAAAAGGCATAACCAGGGTAGCTGTGTTGATCATACAACAAAGTACACTAATTCAAAATCCAGAGAGCAGCAATACATTTATTGGCCAATCAAAATGCACAAAATTCATGATGCAAGTTTTTGAAGCTCAACAGGCTTCTTTATCAGAAAAAGGTGTTAGCAATCTAGCAGGAGAAAAAAAATAACAATGTTGGGAGCATGAACCTACATTTCAAGCAAAATCAAGATATTGCTAATGGACTTTAAATTTTACTTTCTGAAGTTTACTCATTGTCTCCAAGAGCCCACATGGCCAAGGAGGGTAATGGCCTCTGTCTACATGGATATCCCACTTAACTGAAAACTATAACATCTTGATAAAATGTAGGCATATGACTCCAACATTGTAATTTTTCTTTCTCCTGTTTGATTGTTAACACCTTTGCCTGATGAAGAAGCTAGCAGAGCTTCAAAAACTTGCATTGCATCGTGTATTTTGTGCATTTTGGTTGGCCAATAAAGGTATGGCTGTTTTGTGGATTTTGGATGTTATGGAAACAATAGGGACAGGGCCCTGTACCACAAAAAAGAAGAGCAGGCACATGTCTTTGCCTCAAGAGATTCTGGAGGCAGGGGATGTTTATACTGCCTATTGTAGGCAGGCACACACAACTACACTAAGATGGCCTGGACAAGGATTCCATTCTTTCTCAGTTCAGGATTGGTTTTTTTTTATTTATTTATTTACTGCAGACATGCTGCTGCAACCCAATACTGAACATCTGTGTTTCTCCATCTCTCTTTACAATCTGCCCCGTGCTGCTGCTGGTAAAATACTTCTAGCTAGACAGAAGACAAAGAGGAAAAGATGAACTGAGGGTATAAAAAGACATTGTAAAAAGCAGCTTCTTTGTCACTCTGGGCCGGTACAGACCGGCAAAAAGAGCCGGCTTCCCAGAGGTTTATAGGGAGATGGTGTATGCATGATACATGCTCCCAAAACACTGGAACATGCTGTGAAGCTACCACACGGCAGTGGCATTTTGGCGGCGCAGAGTTTAGATGCCACATGTCGCAGAAATGTGGGGAAAACCACCACCATGGCGGCAAAGGCGCCTTTTTCCCAGCACAAAAAGGAGCCGCTTTCTGACACTTCTTTTTGCGCCAGGAAAATGCCGTGTTGGGGGCATAGCGTGTGGTTGCCGTGGCCTGAACCCGGCGATCAAAGGAGCAGCATTAAGCTGCCCCTTTACCGCTGTCTGTTTTGCCCCTCTGTTAATTAAGGTATACAAATACCTGGTTAAAATGTCACCTCTTCCACAAACCTGCAAGGTGTCTTCAGACAGGCCACTGTCTCTCATCTTCAACACAAGCTGGGTAATAATACTGGACTACTGCTGTTGTTGTGTGCCTTCAAATTGTTTCCAACTTATGGTGGCCCTAAGGCAATCTCATGGGGTACTCTTGGCAATGTTTGTTCAGAGATTTGCCACTGCCTTCCCCTAAGGCTGGGAGCATATGGCCTACCCAAGTTGACCCAGTGGGCTTCATTGCCAAGCAGGAATTGAACCTTGGCCTCCACAGTCATAGTCCAACACTCAAACCACTATGCCATGCTGGCTGTATACTGACCATACTGCAGTACTATTTTGACAACTACCAACAAGATATGAGACAATGTGAAGTCAAAGGTTTTCACGGCCAGCATCCATAGTTTTCTGTGGGTTTTTCAAGTTGTGTAGCCATGTTCTGGAAGAATTTATTCCTGATGTTTCACCTGCAACTGTAGCTGGCATCTTCTGAGGGTGGTGGCATGAAAATGTGTGCCATATATATACCTCACCAGCTAATTCCAAAAAATATAGGACTGTGGCTTTCATCTGCCTCAGCGGACTTGTTTGCTGCCATCAGGGCTGCAGACAGAACAGTGTAACTATTACACTTCATAAAACATATCCAGGGGTAGCCATGTTGGCCATATAGCAAAGTCCAATAACATCCAAAATCCACCAAACAGTGATACCTTTATTGGGCCAACCAAAATGCACAAGACACATGTTGCAATCTTTCCAAGCTCCACTGGCTTCTTCATCAGTCAAGAGGTTAAAAACCAGGCAGGACACTTCATGTTTTCAACCAAGGAAAGAACAGCCATTACTTCCATTGTCCCTCGGACCATGTTACAACCTTGTCTGAGCTAATCCAATGTCTTACTTAACCCTGTCCTCCCTCCATTTCAAGAGAGCATTACAAACCGCAGATGCGTGTTTGAGGCAGCATCACCATCATGCCCAGGACTTTTCTTTTCCCCCCAAATCCCCCCTCTCCATTTTAACATCTAACATGAGAAAGAGCTTTGGACCTCTCAAAAGCTTACTCAGCAATGTGTGTGACAAACTAGAGTAGACCCCCCCCAAACCAATAGTTTCCAAACTTTGACCCACCAGATTTTTTGGACTTCAACTCCCAGAAGCCCCAACCAGCTTGGCCAACTATCAGGAATTGTAGGAGTTGAAGTCCAACACACCTGGAGGACCAAAGTTTAGGGACCATTGGCCTAAACCATTTGGACTTACATACATATACCCTGTAAACTAAATACTCAAAAGGCAGCAGATCCTATCTGATGATGGAAACTAAGCAAGGACTGCCCTGTTTAGTCCTTGGATGAGAGACCACCAACAGATACCAGGTGCTGCATGTGTCTATCCTGGCAGAGGGCACTGAGTGCTCACCTCTAGAGTCAGTGTTTGAATCTCTGTAGAAGAACTAAATACCCTTAAGGCAGGAAACAGTATGGTTGGTGTAGGAACCAGCCTGTCATAGTCGTTTCTCTGCGGGACAAGCACTTGGAGACCAGGATTTGATTCTTGGCTCGGTCATGAAACCCACTGGATGCCACTACACAAGTCACATGTTCTCGGCCTCAGGGGAAGGCAATGACAAACCTCCTCTGAAAAAATCTTGCCAATAAAACCCCATGATAGGGTCTCCTTAGGGTTACAGTTAAGTTAGAAACAACTTGAAAGCACACAACAACAACAACCTTAAAGGCACCAGATCCTGTCTCATATTGGACACTAAGCAGGGGTCAGCCTTGGATGGGAGACCACCAACAGGTATCAGGTGCTGTCTGCTGTATTTCAGAGGAAGTAAATGGCAAAACCAAGTCCAAGTATTCTTTGCCTGAGAAAACCCTATGAAATTAATGGGGTTGCCATGAATCAATAGGCAACTTGAAGGCACACACAGACACATACCATGCAGCACTTGATTCAGGGAACTTGTTCTGTAGTTAAGACCAGCAACTTGCCATAAGAGTTGCATGAATGTCAGCAATAACAAGAGGGGAGGCTTACGAGAGACATACATGGGAGTCGGCCCTATTGATGACTAAATCACAACACACAATCGCGTCTCCCAGCACATAAAGAAAAACAAAACCAAGGAAGACGCCTCTGGGAAAATCGAAAGGCAACAAGCACGCGCTAGAATTGGGGCCATGCCAACATGTGGCCTGGCGTTTTTGTAAACACCTTCAAAACACACACACAGGCTGCATCTTCACTGCAGAAACAATCTAGGTTGACACTGCTTTAACTGCCACGGCTCGATGCTATGGGATTCTGGGATCTGTAGTTTGGTTGTCTTCTCTGTCAGGGAGAGCTCTGGTGCTGCAATAAATTACACATTCCAGGATTCCACAGCACAGAGCCATGGTAGTGAAAGCGGCATACAAATGGATTATTTCTACAGCGCAGATGCAGCCTTTAAAGTTGTCCAGCAGGAGTGCATTTACACTGTAGAAATAATGCACTTTGACCTCGCTTGAACTGCTACAGCTCAGTTCTACAGAATCCTGAGATCAGTAGTTTGATGAGGCCCTGGCTACCTTTGACACAGAAGGCTCAAGAGCCTTGTAAAACTATAAATCCCAGGATCCCACAGGATGGAACTACTACAGAAGTTAAAGAGGTGTCAAACTGCATTATTTCTACAGTTTAGCTGCCGTTTGACCCTACTTTAACAGCCACAGCTCCATCCTGCAGAAACCTGGTCTGGTCTCTAGTCTGGTGAGGCCCCAACCCAAGAAGGCTAAGACCCTTGCAGAATTACAAATCCCAGGATCCCATAGGATGGGGCTATAAGCACTTAAAGTAGATGCACTCTCAGGTCTAATCAGTAGAAATATGGGAGTTTGACCCCACTTTAAACTCCCATGGCTCCCTCCTATGGAATCCTGGGACTGGTAGTTTTCTGAGGCCCCAACCCTCTTTAACACAGAGAAACCCTTGAAGAACTACAAATCCCTGGATCCCATAGGACAAGGCCACTACAGCACTTGAAAGCACAGTCAAACTGCATTATTTCTACAGTGCAAATTCATCTTGAGTACTTTAAATTACCAAAGCTCCATCCTATGAAATCCTGGGATCTGTAGTTTGGTGAGGCCCCAGCCCAAGAAGGCTAAAGAGCCTTGCAGAACTACAAATCCCAGATCCCATAGGATGGAGCTACTACAGCACTTAAAGTCATGTCGACTGGCTTTATTTCTACAATGTAGATGCACTTTAAGCTCTAATCCAGGGGTAGGCAACCTAAGAGGCCTTTGGACTGGCCCCAGGCCGGTTCTGCCGCCGGCACCGCCGCTGGCCATGATAATATTTATTATTGTTGTTATTACTTGTTCTTGGGGTTTTCTTGGCAAAATCTCTACAGGGGTTTTGCCATGGCTTTTCTGGGGCTGAGAGAGTGTGCAGCCCTGGTGGCGCAGTGGTTAAATGCCTGTACTGCAGCCACTCACTCATAGACCACAAGGTTGCGAGTTCAATACCAGCCAGGGCTGAGGCTCAACTCAGGCCTGCATCCTTCCGAGGTCGCTAAAATGAGTACCCAAATTGTTGGGGGGCAATCAGCTCACAGTTGTAAACCGCTTAGACATCCCATAGCGTGATATGAAGCGGTATATAAATAAGCTGCTTTGCTTTTGCTTTGCATGCACATTTTTTAAATTTTAATTTTTTTATTTTTATTTATTTATTTATTTTTGGTGCTTTGGACCCCCAATTGTCTGAGGGACAACAACACAGCCCCCAGATCAAAAAGGTTGCCTACCTCTGCTCTAATCTGTAGAAATAATGTAGTTTGACCGCACTTTAAACTGACACAGCTCCATCCCACAGAATCCTGGGATTTGCTGTTTTCTGAAGCCCCAGCCCTCTTTAGCAGAGCCTTGTAAAAGCTATCAATCCCAGGATCCCATAGTAGAGAGCAATCCTACAGAATCCTGGGGTTCGTAGTTTGGTGAGGCCCCCAAATCCCAAGAAGGCTCTAGAGCCTTGGGAGAAACTACAAATCCCAGGATTCCACAGGACGGAGCTACAAGCACTTAAACAGGCACATCGTTTCTGAAGTGTAGATGCACCCTCAAGTCTAATCGGTAGGAATAATACAGTTTTGAACACACTTTAAACTGCCATTGCTGCATCCTGGGATCTGTAGTTTGGTGAGGCCCCCAATCCTAAAAAGCCTAAAGGCCCTTGCATGACTACAAATCCCACCCACCCCCCTACCCCCTTCCTCAGGTGGAGCTACAAGCCCTGAAAGCCTTATTTCTACAATTTAGACTCCCCCAAAGGCCCAAATCTGAGGGTGATGGCCTATTTGGCAGATTATGATGATGATGATGATAATAATAATAACAATAATAATAATATTTATTTATTTATTCCCCGCCCCTCTGTTAAAACAATCGGGCGGCTTCCAACAGTTAAAATTCCATACAATACAGCAAATACAAAATACAATCTAAAATCCCCAAAACCCACCCACCCCCTAAAAGAGTATTAAACCAATTTTGAATTAAAACATAAGAGAGTAAACACCATAATGGCACCACTACAGCATTTAAAGCAGTGTGAAAATGTGTTATTTCTACAGCACTGATGCCTTTGATCTCACTTTTAACTACCACGGCTCCATCCTATGGAATCCTGGGAGGCCCCTGGAAGAGACTAAATACCCTTGGCAGAACTACAAATCCCAGGATTCCATACGACAGTGCCACTACAGCACTTAAACACACATTATTTTTAAATGCTCCTGAAGGTCTTATTGGTAGAAATAAGGCAGCCTGACCCCACTTTGAACTGCCACGGCTCCATCCTGGGATCTGTAGTTTGGTGAATCCCTCAACCCTAGAAGCCTAAAGCAGGGGTAGGCAACCTTTCCCCTTTAAGGGCCGAGGGACTTCAGCTCCCAGAAGCCTCAGCCATGTTGGCCAATAGTCCTATGTTGGCCAATAGCTCCTGGGATTCTGGGAGCTGAAGTCCCTCGGCCCTTAAAGGGGAAAGGTTGCCTACCCCTGGCCTAAAGGCCTCTTGCAGCACTACAAATCCCACCCACCCACCCCTCAACCTCAGGATGGAGGCCTGAAGCCTTATTTCTACAGTGTAATGCCCCAAAGGTCCAAATCCGAGGACAATGGCCTCTTTGGCAGAGAAGGCTCAAGAGCCCCGCAAAACTACAAATCCCAGGATCCCACAGGATGAGAGCTACTAAAGCACTTGAAAGGGTGTCAGACTGCATTATTCTTAAGGTGTAGATGCACCCCTAAGGTAG